ATTCCAACAATGATATTGGGCACTGTTATTAATAGGTGAAGAACAGACAAAAAGAGAGAGGGGAAGTGGCTTGGGCTGAGTCACACAGCAAAGTTAGAACTCCAAACTCCCAACGACTAACCTCGCTCTGGGCTCTGTCCCACACACCTGGCAGCTTGAGACTTGCTCCTTTTCGTACTCTGGGCAACAAGACTCCCTGGCTAACCAAGCGAGTCTGACTTGTCTTACAGAGAAATGAAGCAAAATCTTCCTTGGGATGGTATGTTGTGATATTTCTGTTTGTACTAGTTGGCAGGAGACCAGGGTCGCCAATATTTACTGAGTGACCTTGAACACATCCTTGAAAAGTATCTGGACTCTCAGTTTTGCCTTCAGTAAAATAAAGAGAATTATCAATGCCCCCACCCTGGGGAAACTGAGGATGAGGTAGGGAGAGGAAGATTGCTAGGCACTCTTCCAATCTATTCTACATCATCTTTTACATGGGTGAGCACCAAATCTAACCAAGCATCATGATCGCATGGGTAGCTTTTAAAAATACAGTTCCTGGGCCTTGATCAGCCCGATGGACTTGGAATTCTTCTCCTTTCCCTGTGCCACTCAGCCTGCAGTGTGAAGGGAACCTTCTTGTGTTAAGCAGTGGGGCGATACTTTACTTCTCTCCAGTCTAGCATAGAGGCACCTTCTCTATGGGATTGCATCGTGGTCTGGCCCCTTTGAGCACTACCTTGGTCATATTGTTCCCCTAGTTTTGGCACTTCTTATATACTACCTGTTGTTTTTCAAATCCTTGCCTCTTGTTTCCTCACTTAGCTACTGGAGGATAAGGACTATGCCATGGGTTTCTATCTTTGCCCCACAAATGCCAGCTCCATTAGGACACAGTATGTGTTCAATAAATATTTGTTAAACTGATAGAAATCTTGTAGGTGGGAAATCTTGAAATAATTTCTTACTTATTTGGGGAGATTTTCTGTGCCCTTTGGAAGATTTCTAATCACATGGGGAAAACTCTATAAACAAAGAGACGTGAGCCCTGGCTTCCAATTTTGGCTGTGTTATGAACTCCCATTGTGACCTGTGGTAAGTGACGTGCCTTCTCCAGTGCTCAACTGCCTGGTTTGCAAAATCAGGGTGGATGTGTAAACTTTCTTTTAGTGTTGGGTTTGGGCTACTCTGTATAAAAAAGGGGAGTCTTTCTTTCCCATATCAATGCCATTAATGCCCCAGGTGACTTTTTTTTTCCTGTAAGGACTGCAGGTTGATAGGTTACCCCAATTTATAAAATGAGAAACTCAAGTATAGAGCAAGTAAGTGCTATGGCCAAGCTTCCATGCATAGAGAGATTGTGTGTTTGTGCACGCATATGCACTTGGGGTTGGTCACTCCTCCCCCTGGCTTTGATTGGATTCTCCCTCCAAGATCTGTTTATCCATCTTTTCCAAGTACAGGACTGTCAACCATTGATTATCTGCATGCCCACTCTCTCCTCTGTGGGTGACCCAGGGCAACGTTATGACATACCAACTGTGTTTTCTCTTGTCCCTCCGCATACTCCCAGCCAGGGCCAGAATGTCCACTGCTATGTTCAGTAAGATCCGTTCAAGAACTGTCTTCTGAGGAGGAGATGAAAGATACAGGACACCAGTCCTTGCCCTTGTGGAATGTCTAGTTTACACGAAAATCCAATACAAGACTGTGGGGGGGGGGTGCTACTCTATGTGAGGGGGTCCTGTGGGCTAAGGGTTGCTTTGATATATCTTCAGTACCTGGAACAGTTACTGGTACATAGAAGATGCTCAACAAATATATGGGCTGGGTGAAGATTGCCAGGGTTTTCAGACTTCTTATTTTAAAGAAGGGAAAGCTTTTCTTCAGTGAAATCATGCCTGGAAGCTCACTATCAATGCAATGCTGCTCTGCTTGAGGGGAGCTAGGTAGAGTTGAGCCCTCTCTGCTGTCTCCTCTGGGCCACAGAGAGTCCTCAGAGCCCATTTGGAAAGCTACTGCTTTGGTTACTTGGAAATGAGAAAGAGCTCAACTCTTGTTCTCTCTCACCAGTTAATCTTAGCCCCAAGGTGACCCTAGCAAAATAAATGAAGGTTTGAAGAATGAAGTGCTCAAAGGGACTATTTGCACCTGAAAAGAAGATACTGTCAATCTCTCCCAACCCCTCCTTTCAGGGACCTCCAATTAGCAAGAGTAAAGGGGAGGAAGTTTTGAGTAGTAGACTTCTAAATTGGTTCACAAACGTTTATCAATGTAATGTTTATTTAACTTAAATACATAAAGAAAGAAAACCTGTAGACTGTTTTCCAGCATTGTATAGAAACCCATTGGGTGTTATCCAACAGATGGTTCTGATTAGCATGTAAAACTCCCCTGGAGTCTGGCCAGTAAGTAGGTGGTACTGCCTTTTACACTAGAGTGCCCTGCACTACCCTGACAACTATTAACATTCCTGACTAAGTTCACGGTCAACCTTATGCACACAAAGCTGCCAAGAAGACCTGCCTATAGAGAGCACCTCTTCTCCATGGCTGCAGTACCCTCTACCTCTACCTGGCCTTCTCCTTGCTTCCTCACTGCCAACAGAATAAGGGAGGGAAATCAACCTAGGGGATATTTACTTGTCAGGGTTGTGCAGGGAGCAAGGCACATCCCAGATGTGCATCTGGAAAACAATTTTGACTAACAGACATCTGTATTTTTATATATGTCAAAGGGATACAGCTCTCGAATTAAGAGGTTTTCATCATTATCCATCTCATGGCCCTTTCATATAAATATCTACCTGCCCTATAAACTGTCCCTTCTCACAGGTGCCAGAAGGGGCAGGCAGATAATTAGTGCTAGGGATTCCCATTTGATAGCAAGGGAAGTGAGGGGTGGAAGGCGCTCTCCTTATTTAGTTAACAGGTCACCAAAATCCCTAACTTCTCCCATACTTCCTGGCATGACCACCTTCTCCACCTCTTGTTTAGTTCCCAACTCTCCAGCTACCCCCACCCCTCCACTACTGTTGCTTACTTCAATCCCCCTGTCCAAGTCACCACCCACAGCATCTGGACACATCATTTGGACTTAAGTAATTTAGTTGGTGTCATGAAATCTGGTTTTAGAATCAAGCCACTCAAGGTTGGAGCTGGGGGAGAATCTTAGAAATCAGGAGAAACTCAGGCTGAGGCCTGGAGAACATGCCCGAGGTCTCACTGCAAACCACTACAAAGCCAGGGCCTCAATCCCATTTTTCCTCATGCCTTCCTGGCTACATTCTGAGTTTCTCTATTTTTCTTTGTGTCTCATTCCACCTATGTGAAGCTTCCTTTGTCCCCTCTGACTCTTTTCCTATGTTTTGTCTTATCTGGGAGAGGCTCTAGGGCTTGCTACACAGTACCTATTCTCTGAGACCTTGGTGTTGACTCAAAGCAGATTTAGTGACCTAAAGAGACTCAGAGCCCAGAAGGAACCTGCCACCCCCAGTTCTGAAACATGATTTAATCCCAAGTAAGATCAGTTCTGACATTTGTTCAGAAGCAAAAATAATGGTTTCTAGAGTTCAGGTGACTTGCTCAAGGTCACCCAGCTAAGAAGTGGCCACAGCTGGAGCCAACTGTAGGTCTTCAGGCCCCTGGAGTGGCACTCTGCTTCACGGTCTGCCCACAGGCTCTGGAGGCCAACTGACCAGGGGCAAGCCCAGATTCTGCTTCTCTGCTTGGAGCAGTGCAACTATTGGGAAGTGTACATTATTCCTTTAGGTTTCTAAGTTTGTCTCTCATTTGCGTGTGGCTCAGGTCCTAAATGTGTGGGTGGGAAGGAGACAAAACAGCATGTGTGGTCGGCCAACACTCTGGCTTTCTGGAAGTGCGTGGGGCACCTTTGAAAGCCCCTAGCCACTGTGAGCCAAGCACCTAGGTTTGTGCCCGGCTGTACTCCTCCCGCACAGAGCCCCCTCCCCTCCCCATTGTGACGCGCCAACATCAGAACTCGGTGATCAGGGGCTGTGTATCTGGAGACCACTTGGCTGGCTGCTGTGGTGTGCCAAGATCAGCGGACTTGCCCCAGAGAAGCGCTCTTGGCTCGCTTATTCCTCCTGCCATTCTCCCACGCCCCCAGAGTACCCACCGACCCCAGCACACCGAGTTGTCGCTGCCGCGCCCATCCGGCCAGTGGTTCCCAGACTGGGTGCGTCTCCAGCTAGGCGCCCGCCAGCCGCCCCCAGAGCTAGTTTTGGCTTTGGGGATGAGAGAAGTAAAGAGGGGGACAGGCAGGGCACCTCCCCCTTGGGCCCAGCCAGCAAGCGCAACCTCTCCAGTAGTCTTTCGCTGTCCAGCAAGTGCTGCCCCACTCTTATGCCCGCCAGACGCGCTGCTCGGAGTCGCTCCTGGCACGGAAGGCCAAGCTCCTTCAGAAAACTAGGCTCACCACCTTTGGGGGACTCCCAAGGGAAGGCAAGGACCCGGGGCGGGGCTCCCAGGGTTCTTGGCCCGGGGCCCTGGGGGGGCATTACCGGGTGCCCCGCTCAATCTGCTTTCCTTCACAGATAGCATGGTCTCCCTAGGAGGGGAGCGCCTTTGGTGTCCCAAAAGACCCCGCGGACCACGTGCTTTGGAGGTACGGGCCTTTCCTGGAAGAGGGAAGGGGGGCGCTAGCGAGCGGCTGGCAGAAGAAACCTGTTTGCTGGCCGGTTTGGAGGTGGGATGGGGTAGGGTTTGGAGACCGAGAAGCCGGAGCAGTAACATCGGTTTCCTCCCTTCTTTTGAAAAGGAATCAAGTTGCGAGGGTGAAATAATGCGGAGTGTAAACACAAACAACCTCAAAAAGAAGCCAAGAAAAACGAAGCCAAAAGAAGCAAGCTCAACACTGTTACAAAACTGTCTGGTTTTGTAACAATTTCCCCGCCGCCCGCCAATGAGCAGCGTGGCGGCGCGTCACGTGGTGCCGTTTTATATAACACTTTGCTGAGACAAGACAGTTATTAGGCGGCGCGGGGCGGCCGGCATGGAGCTCTTGGAGGCGCGGCAGGGCTCGGCGCTCGGCGGCACATCAGCCGTGGAAGCCCGGATTTACCCCAGCCACCACTCTTTGCTTCGTGTCTCTGCTCCCTAGACGCCTCTTCCCTGAGCGTGTTCCTTTCCCTATGGATTCACTTCAGACCGAACAGATGCTGAGCTTGCCCGCCGCCGAGCTCAGCAGCAACAACTTAGAGCTGGCGGAGCCGGCGGAGCCGGCGGAGCCGGTGGCATCGGCGGCCGGCGCAGACACAGGCCCCCACCCAGAGACGCCTACAGAGGGCCCTGCACCGCTCTCGACGAGGGAGCCGGAGGAAGATCAGCCTCCAAGGACCTCATCGCCAGAGTGCAAAGTCCTGCTCACGCAGGCCGACGCCTTGGCGTCCGGGGGGCGCCTCCAGGAAGCCCTCGAGGTGTACAGACAGCTCTCGGAGCGGCAGCAGTTGGTGGCAGAGCAGCTGGAGCAGCTGGTGCGCTGTCTGGCTGAGAATGTCTCCCAAGGCAAGGAGTCGGAGCCGGCGCCCCCGGACGGGGGTAGCGCAGCAAGCTGCGTGGTGGTGGCGGAGGAGACAGGGGCGGCCGCAGATGCAGCCGCGGCCACCGAGGTGTGGGACGGCTTTATGTGCCGGAAGTGTCATGGATTTCTATCAGACCCCGTGTCCTTGTCCTGCGGCCACACCTTTTGTAAACTGTGCCTGGAACGTGGGCGGGCATCCGACCGGCGTTGTGCGCTGTGCGGGGTCAAGCTCTCCGCACTGATGGTGGCCAACGGGCGGGCACGCGGGTCCCGGCGGGCTGGGCAGCAGGCGGGGCCGCCGCCGCCGTCACCGCTGCGGGTCAACGTGGTGCTCAGCGGCCTCCTGGGCAAGTTGTTCCCGGGCCCCTCGCGGGCGTCGCAACTCCGGCACGAGGGCAACCAGCTGTACCGCGAGCGACAAGTGGAGGCAGCACTGCTCAAGTACAACGAGGCACTCCAATTGGGTGAGCCCACCGCGCCGCCAGGGCCGGGCTGGGGCTCCGGGGCGACGCGAAGGGGAGGGAGAATGAACTCAGCAGGACATGGGGCTTGGACCAGGGCAGAGGAGGGTGCGGGGACGCATGGACCGTGGCCGGGTGGGGGAGGAGGATCTCTGTAACTCCCCTCTAACTCGTCTTCCCGCTTTAGGTATCTTTAGCAACCCTTTGTTGCTTTTTATCTTTTTTCGCGACTCCTGTTAGCTTTTGTGTTTTTGTGTCTTTCAGTCTCTGTTTCTGTGTCACCTTGTTTGTCTCTTTTTCTCTGTCTCTTCGCATTTTTGTCACTCTGTTTCTATCTTGCTTGGTGTCACCGTCTCTGTTTCTGTCTCTCCCTTTCCCTCTGCACGCCCGGGTCCCCTCTCGCACCTGCATCTTCCCTGCCAGGACAGGAACTTCACACCCTTCCCACACTCCTGCGGAGTCCTCCAGGCTCTCGCCAGCGGGAGATGTCCGGTCAGCGCCTGCGTCTGCTCCCGCCGCTGGGAGTTGTCCCTTCCGGGGCCGTGGCTCCCTGTGGGGTGGGTCCGGCGTGGAATTAGGTCAGGAGAGCACTGGTTGCATAAGGGCCGCGAGCGGCCCGGGCCGGGCGGCCCCTCCTCCGCGCGGGCGGGCGGGATTGTGTAACGGCTGAGGTAACCGAAGTGGGCCACGCTCACCTCGGAAACCATCCCGCGAGCGTGTACGGGGGAGGGGGAGCGCTCGCGCCCCGCTGCCCTGTGACTCATTGTCACCGCTTCCTATCACACGATCCTGGGCTGAAATAGATGCCCTCCACGCCCGCCCCCCCGCCATCCACAGCCTGTGCCCTCGCTTCGAACCCCTTAACTCCACCAGCCCAGCGGGAGACCAAGCCGGGCAACTACTTGGGGATCCCCAGGGACTGTAGACTGGCTGCGAATGGGGCGCGCCTCTGTCCCGCTTTCCGGTGCTGGCTGGGAGGGTTGGGTGGACTTTTCCAGCTTCAAGGACAATATGGGCGGTCCCACACCTCCAGCTGGGCGAGGGCACTGACTTTCCTCGCGGAGCTACTCTCCCCGATCCCCCCTCCCAAGCCTGAACCCAGGAAGTGGCCAAGGAGCCGCCAGCCGGTATTGCCCAGCCCTGGCAGGCTGCCGGAGCTCTGCCAGCGGGGCGCGGTGTCTGGCGAAGCATGGAGGGAGGAGGCAGCAGGCGGGGCAGATGGGGCTCTGGGATCCGAGGGTGCCCTGGGCCTGGCTCTGCTCAGTGGAGGAGGGGGTGGGCTGGAGTCTCCACGTGTTGAATCTCCACCCAAGTTTGCAACAGGTAATAGGGAACGGGAGGAACGAGGGCTGACTGGGCAAGGCTAGCAGCCCAGAGAGAGGCGAGCTCCAGCACACGCCCCTCCCGTGCCCAAGCAAGGCGGACTGTGCGCTCCCACCCAGGTGGGGTGCTACAGAAAGGACGGTCAACTCTTTTCGAATGTCTTAAGAGCAAGTAGTGGGAACTCAAGCAAGCCCTCAACACACTCCTGGGAGGAAAACCACCAAAGCCTGTTGTAGCCAGAGAAGCTGGAGATCAGACCTTGGAGAAGAGCAAGGCCATAGGAGACAGGGGGTTCACTTACACCCAGACCTCCAGGAGAGGTTTACTTCCTTTCAGCCATTCCCTCCTCTATTGCTGCCACCACTTTTCCCTGGAGGTTCTTCCTTGCACCTTTGTCAGTGCCCTGGGAGTACTCAGGGTAAAAATGTGGAGACCAGCTTCACTTTTCTGTAAGTGAAGAGGAAAGGAGCCTCCCCAGCAAAGAGTATCTTTGTCTGGGAAGGTGGCCTGTGTCTCAGTATTATTCCAAGTAGCATGAGAATGCTGTGTGACCTTGAGTGGATACCTTCCCCTCTCTCCAGATAGGGCTTGATTGTCCCTATAAGAAGAATGGGTTGATCGAATCAGGTGATCTTTAAAGGCCTGTCCAGCTCTGGCATCTAGTAGTTCAGAGTGCTGATGAGAGGCAGCTTCACCTTATTCCCAGAACCTTGTCCAGGCTCATTCACATGTGGTCATCTGTAATGAGAGGATGGGACCTTGAGAATGTATTTCCATTTTCTTCAGGAAAGCTTCATATGTGTTGGGCTTTGTAGAAAGAGATGTTGCTGGCTCAGCGCCTTTAGCTCAACCGGCTAAGGTGCCAGCCACGTACAGCTAAGGTGG